TCAAGCAGCAGAAGGACAATGTGCATCCTTTGCTCTCGCTTCGCAGAGCTTCATTTTTAAGGTGGCCTGAACAGAGTGTTTTAGGTCAGCAAACCCTGGTCTCAGGCCACCTTGAATTTAGCTTGAAAAACTGTCTGTTTTAACAAAAGCCTTGTCACAGCGACACCTCACGACCCTTGCTTCGCAGATCTTCATTTTTGAGGTGGCCTGAACATATAGTTTCGGGCAGCGAGCCTCTGGTCCCAGGCCACCTCGAATTTTGCTCTAAAAACTTTCTACTTAAACGAATGCACTTCCAATCATATGACAACCAATCGTCTGTTCAACCAGGCGCAAGGTCAATGTAGGTCAATGTGCATTTTTTGGCTTTTGCTTCATCTGAATGTGGATGGGAATTATCTATGTGTGAACAGTGAACAGAATGTTTTTTTCAATCGAAATTAAAGGTGGCCTGGGACCAGGCCATTGCTCCCCTAAAACCATTGTTCAGGCCACCTCAAACATGAAGAACTGGTTCAAACAAGGATACCTGGATCAGGCCGCTCCCAAAAAGACCTGCTACAACAAGGTCGATGGGGGGGGGTGTGCGCGAACGTTTATCGAGCTAAACGCAAGTCGTTGTTGGGTCCGCGCGCGTGAATCTTTATGAAGCTAAATGCAAGGTGGCCTGGGACCTGGTGTTTGCCGCCCTCAAACACTATGTTCAGGCCACCTCAAGGCTGAGCTGTGCTTGGCGAACGACGTTAGTAGGTCGGGGGTCGGGGGGGGGTGGCCCGAGAAAGGTATACGTAAATTCTTGGAGGTGATGTTTTAGTGATTTTGGAGCGGGTGGTGATGCAAGAGTGCATTTTTTGCTTTTGCATGGTTACCTATGTGTGGGCAGAACAAGACATGAAGCAGATTTGACACGCGGCCGCAAGCGGCTGCGCGAGCTCATTTGATTGCTTCGACGCGTTGTCGAGAAAGGGAAGCGCTGGCTTTCGTTTTGCAGCTTCTCAGGTTCCAGTCTCATGCAACTGCTCCTGCGCACAGAAACAGCATGAAACAACTCCGACTGAACAAGAAGCAGATTAACTTCTAAAGACAGGTGGGCCCATGTGGGTCTTTATTGGATCTAGGGCCTATGATGATCTCTTTATATTAATGTACATTAATGTTCACATCATCGCAAGAATAAGCCTCCCCCTAGTGACAGTGACATTTTGGCGGACAACAATTTGTTCGTCGTCTTAATAATAACAATAAAATATATTTGGAGGTTAGAAATAACCGTTACTTTTGTGAAGGTCTTGCACGACCAAGTCCTTTTGGCCCGAAGGTTTCTGAGCCTTTTGGGTCGGCACGGCCACATGTGGTGGCTCCGGCTGGCGGTCATCTCGACTGCGGCCGTAAGCCATGGTTGGTGGGCTGGCCCGGAAGGGCCACCGGAGGTGGAGCCCTTGGAGGAGCAGGCTGGTTGGCGGCAGCATCTTCGGGAGTGGTTCCCGGGTGCTGAGCGAAGGCTCAATGCCACGGAAGAGTGGCTCACTAGCCTGGCGAGCTGGGGTCGGGAGTTGGAAGGAGCCTCGACCTGGGGAAGCTGGGATGTGGCGCTGTGGATGGTCGTGGACACCCTCTTCGGCATGATCGGGTGGGCACTCTTCGGCAGCGCTTGGACTAAGGTTCGGACCGGATGCCGCCGGCTCCTCCAGGTTCTGGTGGTGCTGGGGCTCTGCCTGGTAGCTCACTATGTGTGGGCCGTGTGCTACCCCATTGTGTCGCTCCTGATCGGGGCCTGCATGGCGATGGCATGGCTACTTCGCAAAGTCCTACGAGGAGTTGGGGCCTTTGCGTTCTGGTTTCAAAAGGTTACAGGAGGCTCTCCAGAAGCCTCTGAAGCAGAGTTCTTGGGCCCTGCCACGGGACGTACACCTGAAACCTCCCAGCTTCGAGCGTTCAAGAGGTCCGGTGAGCAGCCCAAGTACATGGTGGTGAAGAGAGGGGAAGATGCTGCTGTCTTCGCCATCGGCATGGATTCCCAGTCCATCAAGACCCACGGCCTCTATGTCCCTGTGGAGTGCAACACGATTCGCGGATCTCCGGCTTTGGTGAGGCGGCTGCGGGACGTCGAGAAGGTGCACTTATGCCGAAACGAGGCCTGCACCGAAGAGGGAGGGGAGCACTTCGTCATGTACGGGTTAGTTCGAAAGAATGACCCGGAAAGATTCCAGATGGCCCAAGCTCGGGAGGGTGCGCGCAAGGTGACCCACGACTTCTGGGCCTGGTTGAAAGGGTCCCCGTTGACCCAAGGCACCTCACAGTTGATGCATCGCCTTCGGGAATTGGGTTCCGAATCGGAGCAAGAAGAGGAGCACCTTGTTTGCTGTGGCAGCCTGGTCACATGGCGGGGCCCTGATGGAACTATGCAGTGCCTGGCCAATCGGCCGTGCAGTGTGCGTGCTCAGCATTTTGGGCAACTCCTCCAGGATGATGTCCCCACTCAGTGCGGGGCTGTGGCATTGTGCGGGGATCATGCTACTCAGTACCTGACCCGACGGTATCCCGACAAGTGCAGTGTGACCTTTTGCAGAAGGTTTGGCAACAAGCTGCAGCATGGAGTGGTGTGGTGTTCAGAACATGAACCTTCAAGCCTGACACCGACGAGACCCTCTTCTACCTCAGCGCGTCGATCCAGGTCGAGGTCACGTACACGAGCGGCGGAGGACATCGACGAGGAGGAGAACGATGATGAGGAGAACGGGGTCAACAACGAGGAGGCGCACGGTGACGAGGATAGGCATGGTCGTGCGAGAAAGCTGTTGGGAAGGGCTCGTGAATGTGAGGAGCCCGAGAGCAAAGAGAGAACGCCACGTCGGAGGGGAACAACACGCTCACCTGGACATACTCCGAAAGGATCAAGCATCAGTCGAAATCTATCCCGCATGGGGATGCTCGAGTCGCCAGGTTCGGAAGGTGCCGGCAGCTTGCTGGAAGAGTTCTTTGAGATCTTTGCAGCCGGGAAGGCTGATGGACTCCGTGAAGACCAAGCGCGTAAAAAGCTGGGAGCTGACCGCCTGCTACTACCCGGTGATCTTCTTCGACAACTGGTTGGGGAGGCGGAGAATGAGCAGGCGCAAGGACAGAGAGGGCTGTCACGTTTCTTGACCACGTGGCGGAAGGAGCTGGCTAGGTTGGGAAGGCCTCACGGAGAAGGGGAGGGATGTAGCGACTGGAGTATGGTGGAAGGTGGCAGTCAAGCCGCGTCTCCTGGGGATACTCCGGAGAAGGATGGGGATAGAGCTACATCGCTGCCTTTAGCTTCGTCTTTGAGGACCTCGGCATCCAGGACGAGACCTACGTCTGAGCCTGCACCTCCGATCCCCCTGGTCTGGCAGAACGGGGACAGCAGATGCCTCAGGTGGAAGAGAAGCGAGGTGATGGGCTACGAGTGGCACCCCCGGGGATCTATCGCCCTGACACCAGGGCCGGAGCCAGGACCGACAGTGGACCTACTGCAGAACCCGTTGTCCAAATTGCCAAAGCGATCCAACATCAAACAGCAGAATTGGCTTCTTTGGTTCGCCAACAAACCGAAGGAGCAGGAGGTCAGGTCCCCGGTACAATCCGTGGGCTCAACAAACAATCAGAAGAACTGGTCTTCTTGCTTCGGGCGTGTGGCCAGTATCAAGTGCGTGTTGGTGCGGAAGAGCACGGTCAGGCACTAGCAAACTCATTGCTGTCCGCTCAGGTAGGAGCCTCGACCAAGCTTCGAGCAGCAGGCTTCCGCCAAAGGATGTCAACCCGGCTGGCAGTGGGGATTGCAGGGCCGTACTGGGGCATTCAGGAGAAGTATGGCCTAAGCGCTGCGGACTTCCTTTCCTACACGGACGCTGAGCTCGACCAGTTTGCGTCTGAGGCCAAGGTGATGAAGAACACCGACCAAAGACCTCCTCCTCCGTCCAGGTTTGACGAGTGGACCGCCCGAGTACGACACCAGACAGATGTGTGGTGCCTGGTTTATGGGGAGGAATGGAGGGCCGTACGGAACAACGCCCTCAACCTCTTGTCGGAGTGGCATCTGTCCCATCCCCACAGGTGGCCGCTGGCCATAGTCATCGACATCTGGGAGGAGATTCACTGGCGATTTCTGGAGGAGCTCAAGGACGTGCTTCGGAGCCTCAAGAAGGAGATTGGCAGGGAGACGATCAGCCTTACCGAGCTCAAGTTCCATGCGCTACTTCCGGGACCAGATGGACAGGCATGGCTGGTGATGCCCACAACCTTCGACATTGAGAAGCCCGACTCGTGGTTCCAGACCGAGGTCCTCCCAAGGATCGAGAGGAAGCAGGACCGCCTCTTATGGAATCTCACTTGGCAGGGCGGGGCACGGAAGGATCGCAACCCGGCAGCACCGGCAGGAGGAGCAGGGGAGAGTGCAGGAAGCTTGAGCTCGCAGTCCAAGCCCACTCTCAAGTCGTTGTGGGGGCCCAAGTTGACTCCGGAGGAGGTCGGAATGGCCAAAGATCGGGCCCCTTTGGACCGCCACGGCAAGTTGCTCTGCTGGGGAAACCTGTGCCACATTGGCTGCCAGACGACAGGTTGTCAGCGCTCCCATGAAGGACTTCGCGGCTCTTTCGAGAATCTGGACCCGTGTGTGCAAATGCAACTCCTCAAAAGAGGCGGGCTGAAACGGATGAAGCTCGAGAGCCCGGACACCGTGACCACCAAGATCAAAGACATCCGGTCCAAGATGCGGGTCGAGAAGACCGACAAGATCCAGGACGGAAAGAAGCGAGCGAAAGCTGGGAGCACCCCGGCAGCCGTCGGGACAGAATCTGGAGGGCAGGAGGTAACGGAAGATGGCCGAGCTGGAGGAGAAGGGCCAAAGGTGCGATTTTGGGACGTCCCTGAGGAGTTCGAAGTCGACTACACCAAGGGCGAGGACCTCAAGGATGTGATTCAAGGGCCGGACTATGCATGGCATCGAGATGTTCATCGTGATCTTCCACCTCATCATGGTCGGGATGGTACTTCGGCACCGCAGGAGGCGAAGCACCTGGTCCAGAAAGCCCAGGAGCTAGGAAAGTCCCCCGCTCTTCAGGCACTGGAGGGAGCCACTGATGACCTGTATGCATGGGCCGCTGATAGAGTTGCCAGGGAACCCGGAGTCGAACTCTCTTCACTTCTTCAGGAAATGGCGACCTATGGGATGGGAGAGCTTGCACGAGAAGCGGCTGAACTACTGGAGCAACGGGAAGGAACTAAAGCAGGCTCGGCTCGGCTGGTGGTTCGAGACACCCTGTGGGCAGAGGGGCAACCAGGGCAGGGAAGCGTCGAGCTCGACGGCACCACTTGGCGGCTGTGGGACTATCAGGAGGACGTCATGATGACGGAGGACCTGGCAGCACTTCTTCACCTACCGGAGGTGTCCATCGAGCGGCGGCAGTGCGTGACCATTACCATCGCGGCTATGGTTGAGTGGAAGGAGAAGGGCCGACGGCCGTCGGTGGAGCAAGTTCAGACCAGAGCACAAGGCCTGAGGTTGGAGCAGACGCGGCTAGCAGTGGACGCGGCCAACACCATCGGCGAGGCGGAGGAGATGGTTGCAGCTGTGGAACATGAAGTCAGGACCTACATCCATGACCTCACTACAGCTCACCACGAGAAGGACTTTCGCTCGTTGGCGGTCTTCCCTTTGGAAGCCCTTGCGGACTGCCGATTGGTGGTTTTCAGGGCGGACTACCGAGGGGGCTTGGTCGTGGAGTGCATCATTGGGTCCAACTGGATAGATGGGGGTTGGACGACCTTCGCACTGATTTGGAAGGGCCACATGGTCCTTCTGGAACCACCGGACGGCTACGACCTGGAGCGCTTCCTGGCCAGAGAGGACCCCCAAACCACGCCTGCGATGGGGTTCACGTTCTTTTGGCATGCTCGTCATGATCAACCTCCCACTGCACCAGGCAAGATCTTCTGCAGGTTGTGCAAAGCAGGTCGCAAAGCTGGGGAGTCGCTCAACGCGCCAAGGCATAGCTGCCTGTCCTACACAGCCGCCACCGCGGGAGGAACCATGGACATCCACCACGACCACAATGTGATTCGGGCAGTTCGGGGTGCAGGCCAGCCACATGAACCGGGGCAGCTGGTGCTAAGGGAGTTCTTTGCCGGGAAAGGTGGCATCTCCGCGGAGTGGAGCAAGACGAGCCCGATCATGGAGCCAGTCGAGGTCTACGAGCATCCCCACGACAAGCAGGGTTACAGGGCACACTTTGACTTGAGTCGAAAGGATGTCCACGACAAATTTCTGGCAGAGGTGCGTACCGGACCTTCAAATGTGCATTGGATTGCAGCCCCTTGCACGAGCTACTGTGACTGGCAGCAGAAGAATGGCGGGACTCGCACCTTCGAGTGTCCCGAAGGCACTGGACAGGGACCGTTAGCAGCAACTGAGGCAACGGGCAACATCTTGAGTATGCACGCTGCTGAGCTCTTTGAGGCTTCGTTGGATTCCGGCGCCTTCCCCCTCGTCGAGTCCAGTGGGGTCAGTGGTCGGTACCCCAAGCAATGGGACCTACCGTGTTGGAAGCGCATCCTCCACCGGCCGGACGTAGAGTATGTTGACCTGCCCATGTGCGCCTTTGGTCTTGGTCCCCCTGATGAGCCAGATCATTTCTATGTGCACAAGACCAGGGTGGTCTTCCCACTGCATCCACCGTTACGGCGGGCGCTCCGGCGAGTCTGTCCGGGCCTGTCAACCTCCCACCGGCACATCGGACTGAAGGGTTGTCGCGACGGCCAAACCGTCACTCGCTGTACTGAAGCCGGGGTGTACGCCCAGAACTTTGTGTCAGTCGTGGTGGCGGTGCTCCAAGCTTCGTTGGGGGGGGGGTCTGGCTTTGACGCCACAAGATGGTCATCGAGCAGGCGGTCTACGGGATCGAGGCGGAGACGATGGAGAAGATGGAGGTGCTCTACTACCTGGTGACCGTGAAGAGGCTGGCGGAGACGGTGAGGATGACCTACCTGGAGACCTACCCGGAGACGATGGCGAAGGACATGACGGAGATGGCGGAGGCGTCCAAGGACATGACGGAGATGGCGGAGGCGTCCAACGAAACGATCAACCCGATGGAGATGGCAGAGGGGATGGCTTGTTGGAATCGATGGGCTTCGTGAACCACTCTGCGAGCCGCCACGGAGATGGGTTACTGGAGGTGCTCGGGTTCCCTGAGGGGGGGGTTCCCAATCCGATGCGGCAACCAAGGGCCGTGATCTCAGCAAAGGACCGGGTGATCCCTATGCCGTGGAGACCAATGAGAAGCTCATCCGCTCCGGCTGGAGCCCGAGAAAGGTCCCCGCGAGGAAGTTCCAGACCAGGAGGGGGAAAGGGCAAGGGCGGCTGGCTCAGCTTCGCTAGAGGAGGAAGTTCGTCTTCATCCACTTCAGAGCCCAACTCAGACGTTGAGGGAGGCGGGAGGAAGTCCACCAGGGTGGAATACCCGTATGGCCTGTCGAGGGCGGAGCGATATCGCTTGGCATGTGAGAAAGGAAAGGGCAAAGGCACCCCCTCCCGAGGCGCCGAGCCACCTCTAGGAGATCTTGACCGAGGAGAAGGGGAGACCCTGCAAGGAGTCTGGGCAGATCCAATGGGCCCCTCCACCAGTGTGGACTTTCACCGCACCAGCCCAACCGGACCGGGCGACCACTGGGGCTCGCCTCAAAGGTGGCAGTACAACCCGTCCCGCAGGCAACTGTGGAGAGTTCATGATGAACCCAGGACGACCCTTTACGTCCCGTCAGAGATTGGTCTCCCTACACCGCTGGCCCACCTGACCAACGAGAGGGTCACCCATCTGCGAGAAGGGGCGAACCAGGTTGTCATCACGGATGATTGGCGGGCTGCCGGAGGAGCTGATCCAGGCTATGGCAGGTGGACGGGCGTGACCATCTTCACCATCCAGGAGATGCCGGTTGTCGACGACGAGGCGATCCCGTGTGAGGACGACTGGGAGTGGGGCGAAGACGAGGATGAGGGACCCGACCCGGGAGAAGATGACGGACCCGGGCCAGAAGTGAGTGTCCAAGTGGAGTCAGGCCCCACGGCCTACGCCGGGAGCGAGGCACAGGACGGCCCAGGTTCGGCCTACCAGGCACCAACTACAGCAGCGCGGCAGGCAGCGGAGGAGTATGTCAAGGCCATTGAGCGGGACTTTGACAACACTCCCAATGGTTGGGCAGCCGTGCTACGGGCGGGCAACAAGCTGGTTGAGGTCGCGGGTGGAGTGCGCCAAGCTGCTGAAAGCCTCTGGGAGGTAAGGGAGAAGGCCGGCATGATGAACCTAGCCCAGGTGGATGACCCGGAGCTTGACCGGGTGCTACACCCCCACCTACTGGAGTATCTCCGGGATGTTCGACGATATGGCATGGCGGCCAGGTTCCAAGGGCTTCGAACCAGAGCCTTTGCGAAGCTTCACCCCAATGCACGACGCCATGTTGACAAGGTCTTCGCCCAGGTCGCCAAGGATGTGGGAAAGCAGAGGGTGTTGGTCGTCAGCGCCATGATGCCGCAGCTGAGCGGGACGATGGCCTCACCGTTTGAGGCGGTGCAGAAGCTTAAACCAGATCGCTCGGTGTCGGAGGAGGTGAGAGTGGTCCACGACCAGAGGACCATCAACCATGGGACGAACAAGTTCCTTCACCCGCCGGCCCTTCAACCTACCCACTCGCAGATCGCCAAGCGCATCCTATGGGCTAAGGGTCGGTGCCCGGGCTTGCCGGTCCTCCTGTCCAAGAAGGACATTTCTGGGGCTTTTAGGCTTCTATGGGTCGCCCCGGAGGATGTAGAGTTGTTCGCCGGGGAGCTGCCGTGGAACCCGAGGAAGGCCTTTCCGAACGCCACAGATGAAGAGATTCACTTGGAGGGCGTCCCAGGCGGCGACATCACGGTGGTCTACTTGGTCTCCAGCTTCGGGTTCAGTGGTAGCCCGGGAGAATGGACTGTATGGGGGCGTAGCACGGAGGAATTCCATCGAGCTCACCGCCCGGCGGTTCCACGGAGAGACATGGGCCATGGTTTCGATTGCAAGGTCCTCGTCGACGACGGAGTGTTGGTGGAGCCCTGGGTGGGACTGAGGCCGTGGGTGAGCGCGGAGGTGTTTGAGCACGGCATCAGGACGCTCCTGGGGAACAAGGCGGTGAATGAGGAGAAGGACAAGGTGGAAGGAGCCTTCAAGACCGCACAAACGGTCTGGGGGGGTGATCATGTGTACGGAGGACGAGACTGCTACGCTTCCAGAGCGACGCATTCAGAAAGGAGCGGTCCTTTTAGCTGACAGCTGCTTTGACTACGGCTCCAAGGAGGTCACTCTGAAGCAGCTACAACAGTTCAGAGGCATCTTGACCGGATGGGGAGCCATCGTGAAGGGTCTGGTGAACGAGCTCAAGGCGGCGGACAAGTTTCTTGCGGGTCGTGACGGGCATCAGAAGGTGAATCCCCGACTACGTGGAGAAGGCAGCCAAGCCTGGGAGGCAGACCGGGCATGGGAGGATCTATGGGAGCTTTTCGAGGTCTGCCGTTGGCTGAGTGCGCGGACGGATCGATGGGAATCTTTTGCCACTGGCTTGAGATCTATGCTCCCCACTATGGAGAGATTGAGTTTGCCTGGAGAGTGGGAGAAGGTCATTTGGGTGTCGTCCGACGCTACGCCTACAATGGTGGGAGCCATCGATTGGACCAACAGACAGGTGACACGCCTTCCCACCGGGACATTGAAAGCGTGGGCCGCTCGGGCTCTGTCAGACTATGAGATTGGGGATCAGGAGACCGACCTCGTGATCCACCTGGGTGAGATGCTGTCCTTTGTTGCCTTTGCATGTGCAGCTGGGGACCAGTGGAAGGGGGGCAGTAGTGGCCTATGGCGGGGACAATACCATCGTCAAGAATTGGCTACAATCCCGGAAGAGCAACACCCGAGGGGGGAAGAATCCTCATCAGGGCCCTCAACCTGGCGGAGATGAAGTACAACTTCACGGTCGTGAGCGGATGGTGGCGGACCTATCACAACGTCCATGCGGACTTCATCACGCGGTGCACCCAGGCGGAGTTCGAGGACTTCGTGAAGGAGAAGGGCCTTCAGGTGCTGGACATCTCTGCGGCGATCCACGGCGCTCTGGAGGACTCGGCCCGGTATGGAGCATGCTTCCTTTGGGGGGCCAGAGAAAGAAGGTGATCGCGCACTGCAACTCCAGCTCCGTGAGAGAAGGGTGTCAAAACAGATCCAAAGGGAGCTCGAGATTCCTTGGAAAGCCTTCGCCGTAAAGGAGTGGACCCCCGCTGGAAGGTGGCTGAAAGATTTTGAGGCCTTGGGAGGAGCCTTAGGCGCGGCCATCGAGGACGTTGGGGACCGGCCGGTGCTTTTGTGCGCCACGCTCGGAGTGGACTACAAAGGGAAGCACATGGAGCAGTACCTCCGCAACCTTCAACATGAGGGAGCTCGTTTGGGACTGGTCGAAGGGCCTGGGAAGGTCGATTGGGAGCGTGGGCAGCGACACTGCGAGAGCCGGGGATGGGGCTATGGGATCGTCGACTTCATCACCACCGAGAATGGGGAGGCGTTGACGAGGAGGAGGCGGTGCTTGGTGGTGAACCCACATGGTGCTCTACCTGAGGCATGGGAGGAGTTTCTGGTCAGAGCTATGGGCCCAGCACCGATGAGTTCACTGCTGAAGCCAAAGGAGCACCATGAACTGTGTTGGACCAAGCCATTGCGTTTGGAGCTGGAGAGCGGCATCCCGAGAGATCGAATGCTACCTCAACCCGCAGGTCATGTCTGGTGGGGCGAAGAGCGGGAGGTGATCCATGGGATTGGAGGCCCTGGTCGGTGGCCCTTGCTGTCTGACGACGGGAGCAGTCTACAGGGCTACTACGTCTACGATCGCCGAGGACCTGGAGGCCATGTTCGTCGTCTTGACCCGGAGGAACTATGGGTTCTACAAGGGCGTCAGCTTCGAGACCTACCAGCCAACATCCCTGCCGAGGTTGCGGTGATCGAAGGGGTCCGAGCCACGGGAGTTCAAACTGCCGCGAACCTGGTAACCATGGGAGGCCAAATCCTCTGTGAGCTGATCGCCCGGGAAGCGGGGGAACTGAACCCGGGTAAGGCCGGGATGATGCCGGACGCCACCGGAGCAGAGGCCATGGCCCAGATCCTGCTGTGGCTCAGAAGGTGGAAGAGAGGAGAGCTGAGGCGGAACCCGCCGTCCTATGAGGCCGACACCACCAGGGCTGGTGGCGGCACGGGGCCACCTCTGAGGAGGCTGTGGAGGTGGTCGGAGGCGTGGTGGTGGGCTCAATGCATGGACGAGGAGGAGGAGGATGAGGCCTACACCCTGGAGTTCGCCAACGAGATCAAGGGTTCCTATGCTGGCGGACGGACCAAAGCCAAGACCGACCCGCTCAAGGTTGCCGAGAAGGTGGGAGCCCAGGCTGTTCACCTCACCAAGAGTCTCGCCCCGTTTTGCGGTGATGTTCGCGAAAGGGTCGATGAATGGCTGGAAGAGAACATGACGGGGGACAAGAGTGCCGCGACGGAGAAGGCCTATGGCGGGGCATGGATGAAGTGGTGTGCTTGGGCTAGACGACAGGGCTGGCCGGATGAGTTCCTCAACCGCAACGTGGACCCGATTGAGAACGAGAACCGAGTACTGGCCTACGTGGGTTACCTGGGATGGCTGGGCGCCTCGCCCAATACCATCCGTCAACACATCTTCGCGATGAAGATGGTGCACAAAAGGAGTGGCAGGGGCGACCCCTTGGACGGAATGCACCGCGTGTGGATCCTCGTCAACGCCTTGGACCGGAGGTCGACTACCAGGAAGCCACGACGCTTGGGGGTCACGCCTGAGATGTTAGTGTGGTTGGGCGAGAACCTGGTCGACCCGTTAGTGAATGACCGGCATTCAATCCCGTACGCGGAGGCAGTGATGGTCGTGGCGGCCTTGGAGCTGGCGTGGTTCTTCATGCTGAGGGCCAAGGAGTTCGGGGAATCGAACGGAGTGGACGAGAGCATGATCACGAGGGGCTGCGACATCCGCCTTTCTCACCAAGGAGTGGCGAAACCGGTGGGGGAGGCGACGGAGATCTCCCTCTTCTTCCGGAAGACCAAGAATGACCAGCTGGCCTTCGGGGACACCAAGACGCTGCAGGCCACGGGGAGGAAGCACCTTTGCCCAGTCGAAGCACTGGACCGTATGAGGCAAGTCTGGACGATGCGGTTCCTGCCAGGCCATGCCGAGAGCACCAAGCCGTTGTTCAGATGGAGCAATGGCCAGGTCATCAAGAGGATCGAGATCCAGCACTTCCTCCAGGAGGCAGCGGTTGGAGTGGGCTTGCCGCCAGGGAGGTTCATGTCCCACTCTTTGAGGATTGGTGGGGCATCAGCTTTGTTCCAGTCGACAGCCGACATCGAGTTGGTGAAGCGAGCGGGAGGTGGTCCTCCTCTGCGGTGCAACGCTACCTCTTCGACGGGGGGTCGGTCAGCGCAGTCTCCAAGAAGATGGCCGCGGTTGGAGATGTGACCACCTTTAGATGAAGAGGTGGGCCGGGTGAGGCATCAAAAGGATGCCAAAGGGGCCTGGACTTCAAAGAAGCCAGAGCATCAGTGCGCTTCGCCGCCAAAACAAGAGTTGGGTGGTGGGAGTGCAACACGCGCACTGAAGTATGTAATTATGTGTTTTCTTCAACCTTACATATCTCGTGTAACTGTGCCCCCCCTGCCTCCAGTTGGCGGCCTTCTTTATCTTCTTTCCACCGGCGCAGGTGGACAGCGAGCAGCGCAGACTCCAGCCGAGCCTTGTTTCATGGAACCCCCTGGGAAGCCGAAACTCGGAGAGGATAGTCGCGCTGGGATTGGGCATTGGCACATGTGGTTGGATAGAAGTGCGCTGATTCCGAGGACGCTACCTAAAGTCCTAAAGGCGGAGACCTGTGACGACTTCACAAAAGCTTCGAAACAGATCTGCATAAACTTGCTGGTGGGTTTGAAGGAACCTGACGGAAATCGTGTTTATTTTTCCGGCGCCCACAGACACCTGACCGCCCCCCCTAACAGATAGAAACGGTTTCCAAATGTTTCCAATATTTGTTTGAAAGGGATTTTGTTTTTCTATCTATATGGGGCTGTGGAATAAAAGGATGCACTCTCACACATTCCACTGATCTTCCTTGGCCTCTTCCTTCGCCCAAACGAGGCCATGGGGATCGTGTGCGATGGCTTCCGGCTGCCGAGCCACCCAGGCGGAAGAGCCTGGAGAAGTGGTTCGCCATGGCGGAAGTCAGTCAAATACCACATCCAATCCCAAAGAGTCGTCTAGAGTGGGTTTAAGTGAGCGGGTTTGGGGGGCACAAACATGCACCCGCCCCAAAGAGGTCAGAGTCTGGTAGATGGGGTCCATGTAGGTCCGTCCATATGAACCCTTGTGGGGGTGGTGCTGTCTACTCTCAATCACTATAAAGCCCTGGTTCCTGTTGTTCCTTTCACCGTCGGAGTGCCAGAGAGAGAGAGGGAGGGAGGGAGAGGGAGGCAGTGGATTCGAAACAAACAATCTCAAAGTGACACCGTTTTTTGGAGGGCCGGCAGACCAGAGTTGACCAGAGTGACATCATATCACCCACAGCCCTCGCATGCTCTACAATCGGCTGTTTCACTTGGCCTGGACCACCGGATGTCCGCACCGGAGATTTTGGGAAAACAGCGGCTGCATGTAGAGATCCAGTGCAAAAGCAGAAGCAGATCGAGTCGAAAACCACCACGTTTTGGGATGTTGAGATGCCCGTCACAGCATGAACATCAGATGAATCCTGAGACGCATAGGGAAGAGTTTTGAAAAGCGGTTGGGCATGTCCCCTTCATGGTTGGCAAGGCATGTTTGGCAAGGGCATCTACTTTGCCGATTGCCCCTTGAAGTCTTGGCGATATTGCTTCCCCAGCAGCTTGCCGTGGTGGTTGTGTGTTTTGGGGCGAGTCTGGGACTTGGGGGCTAGGGTGAAGGACTTGGGGGGCTAGAAAGTGGCTAGCAGGTGGTTGGGAACCTGCAATAGTATGTTTGGGCGTGTGCCAAAACATCCTGGCAGAGGCAACCATTTCTATGTCGTTGAGCCTTCAGGTCGAGGAGCAGGTTTTTTTCCCCAGGCTCTGAAGTTGACTTTTGCACAGACTTTCGGTGTGGATGAATCCAGGAATGGGTTTGCTACCTGTGCTATAGGCCGAGTTAGTTCAGATGACCTACTTGGCTTAGAGGGCGGTGGGCGCACCGCGGACGCGAACCGTTTCATGGACCGTGGGAGGTGCAACTCGCACGCGGTGTGTTGGAGCCTAACAAAACGAGGAGATGCTGTTATTCGGAAGTTATTCGTATTTAACCTCCGGCTTGCTATAACGTGGAAGCATGGTACAGCCGCAGGTCTGCCATTGCATCCATCTCCGCCAACTCAAGTCTATCCCACAGCTCACGGCGGATCACATTCACCGCAGCTCACGGCAGATCCGCCCTCCTCCGCCTTCCCTTCACCGCGCTTCACCGGTTTCGACGGCCCTTGAGGCCAAGAGATGGCCAACACCCTTCCCAGGCCCCGCGGAGCGTGTCCCGGTGCGGTGAAGCATGAAGGATCTGAAGGGGTGTGGGAGTGGACTTTTTTTTTTATTGTTTCCCGTTTCTAGATACCTAAGAGTCCTATTCGGAATGGCATGAGATGGCTAAGATGCTTCTTATACCTCAACATGAGGGGTGAAGAGAACACGAAGAGCACGATCCTTTGATACATGTTCGCAAGTTGAGGCATGTGCATGAGAGATAGACGCCGGATCAGTTGTTCAGGAATCACGGGCAGCTGCTTGTGAATGATGGTCCATCCAGGGAATCCAACTGCAATTCGAGCGAGAAGTAGCCATGGCCACCTGGGAAATGGGTTTTGATATGGACCTGGAAACCACCAAAGCTCCATGGGACTGGAGAAATGCCATTGGTTCCTGGGGTCCCTTCAACATGCGTCCCAAACGTGGCAGGGCAGCCGTCACGTCGAGATATTCGTTCGGGCTCCAGTGCTGCGCCCGCTTAGTGAGGGACGAGGAGGTTGGATCCGAGAGGTCCCTGGTTTATGATGATTCCCAGACATTCCTTGTAGTATATGGTATACGTAGACAAGCGCTTGTGTATGTGTATATATACAGTATTTATATATACACAAGGATTTGTACCATACTTCAAGGTGGTTGCAGGAAATGCCTGTGAACCTCACGCAAGTCTCACAGATGAATCCTGCATTCCTCATACCCTAGGGTGTATGGCGCTGCCAAAGCAGATCAGGCAGCCAAAGGGTATTTCAGGTAGTCTACCTTCGGGTGTCATGTATAATTTGTTTGATGCATGATGATTGATGTATGGAGTGATTGCATTGCAAAATGTCCAACATTGAGTTGGAGTGCAAACGATTGAAGCGCTTGCTATGTCTACAGCTAATAAGCGCTACAAGAACTATACTGTAATATAGATATATATACCAGCACCACCCAAAGGGTGGTTTATAGACCCCCCTGACTATCTATTTTCCATCTAATAACCACCCTTTGGATGGTGCTGGTATATATATATATAGATTATGGAAGCTGCCCCTCCCCTTGCCCAACAGGTTTCTGAGGCTTGTAGCAAAGAATTTTCAACCTGTATAGTTCTACTACTGCAACCGGAAGGGGAAAAAACAGAGAAACAACATCCACCACATCCGAAAGAACAACTTGCACCTCGTTGTGGAAACACCGTTTTCTTTTTTGCCAGGATTACTGGGAAGGGTGGCTACATCCTCATGTGCTGGGTGGATCTCGGCACCACACGGCAGGCGCAGCGAGCGTTGAGAGGTGGTGCGCGTGGCGCATGGTGGGTTGAAATGTGGTGATTCAATGACAGGAACGGCGTGAGGTTCGCGTTGGTGGGGTGGGGTTGTTGGACTTATGTGTTGGTTCAATCGGGCCCCTGAGTGGAGTTTCGTTACATTGTGTCACGTTGTTTCTGCATTCTTTTGTGCACAGTTGTCAGTTAAGAATTGACCTGGGTCGGTGTGAGTTGCCCGGCCTTCAGGAATTTCCCTTCGACTATCACCATGCTTTCGCTTCAGCTGTTCATCTTGTAGACATGTCCTTTTCAGAACATACCCCCGTTGAAGATTCTTGGCTCAAATCCCCAAGTGATGGTTTCAGTTTCATAAATGTGTTTTATGGCCCAGACCATCCATGTATGGCATATTTATATACTCTACTTTGACAGTACTTAGCCCTCAAAATAGTACCTTTTTGTGCTGACGCGCCATCTATTATGCAAACAACGCATAAACGCACTTTTTTCCCGTACAGACTCCGATCGACTGAAAATTCATGAAAAAAAGGAGGTGGTGCTCAGGGGAAAGTAGATGGCACTGGTTTTTGGTTCGCGGAAGGAGCGAGAGCGGACAGGTGAGCAAAGGAGTCGGCTTTTTCCCATGAGTCGGAGTGGAGAGTAGATGGCGCATGTTTTATTAGACCTATTTAATGGAATTTTAGCTTTGCATGGTGAAAAACCTACCAATTGAGCCATCTTCCAAACATGGGAGCATCCATGTCCAGCAAGCCGGGGGGCCATCTATATATAGAAAACATTGTGCCATGTACTCCCCGGATGTGTACCTACATTTGGGTGGTTTCAGGGGTGAATATATGTAAATATGTCATACATGGATGGTTTGGGTGAGGTGCGTTCTCCCCAAAACATGGAACAAAAACATCCAAAGTTCACAGTTCCACCCCTTTGGTCGTCCCCAACAACTCCACAGACCTGTCCGCAGACCCCCAGCGGTTTCGCAGGAAAAGGTGGCCAAGCCCGACTTGAAGGGCTACAATCGCAAGAGCTGGTGGAACTGGATCACCCGATGCTCGGTGTCCGAAACAGCCCCTCCGTGGCTCGCCGACAGCCCAAGCAATTGCCGGTCAGTCCGTACGTTTTTTTTTTTAAATGTCCTTTCATAGGCCTGCTTGTATGGGATAGTCACGGAAGAACAATCCTGAACTTCATGATCGAACCCTCCCCATGGACCCATCATGTATGTATCAGACCTCCACTTGCGTCGCGTCGCTCGGGCAAACGCTTGGCCCTCCATCGTTGACGCGTTCATCGTGGTCGCCTCAGGACAACGAGGCGTCCTTCGGCAGTGAACTGGAGCGCTTCGCGAAGTTTGGGGAGGTCCAAGGTCCAGTGAACCCCAACGCAGACACAGAATGTCCCAAGGGCGGGTGGGACGGGTGGCTTGAAGCTCCTAGTTCAGGCCGGGTTGGCAGGGATTATATATGTTTCATCTTCTGTGCAACACAAGAAGCACATCAGACATGATATTGATGTGCTGGATGACCCGCAAAAATCCGCCCAAGATATTTATACAACATGTTCCAAGGGATCCCCTGCCACCTTCTCAGAAGGTACTTGTACCCTCCAAGCATATAAAGATATATAAAGGTGTCTCCAACCACCCTTTGGGAGGGTATATAGATCTGACA